AGAAGAAGAAGAAGAAGAAGAAGAAGAAGAAGAAGAAGAAGAAGAAGAAGAAGAAGAAGAAGAAGAAGAAGAAGAAGAAGAAGAAGAAGAAGAAGAAGAAGAAGAAGAAGAAGAAGAAGAAGTAATGACCCTACTTTGTAGGCCTTCTTTTTTTAAAAAAAAGAAAATATGATAGGTTTCCAAGTTCAGCTGTTATCTTATAAAGGAGCTTCTTGAAAGGGTTCAAACCATCTAGACCAGGGATGTCCAACCTTGTCAACTTTAAGACCTGTGGACTTCCAACTCCCAGCTATTCTGACTGGGGAATTCTGGGAGTTGAAGTCCACAGGTCTTACAATGGCCAAGGTTGGGCCGCTTCTCTATTTGGGGGAGCGATGGAGTTGAAGGTTTGCCAACTTCTGAGAACATACCTGGAGGCACCTCTCCTCAAACCTTCCTAAATTCAGCAGTGGGGAGGAGGAACACCTGCCCTGAGCTGAATGCCGAGATGATCTTCGGAGGCCCCTGCATGATCTTTGGTGTTTTCACTTGTTTCTGTGCTTCCTTACTACTCCCAGCCAGGTGCTTCCCAAAACTTGGATCCATAGGTGTCCTAAGCAATTCCAAAACTGTATCTGGAGCATGTCGGGGGTGGGTTGAAATCAATATCCACAAATCCACCTCTCTTCAAGTTTGAGGTGGCCGCTCAGGAACGAGCAGCAATTTCAACATAGGAAGAAGAATTATTATGCTGATCTGTTCTTGGCAATCAAGGAAACCATGAAATCTCTGGGCACAAGAGATTATATAATACATAATCTTGATTTCTCAAGGATTGCTAATTTTTTCAGAAAACTATAACACAAACTTTTGGACTTCTTTGCTAAGCATAAATTCCATCTCTGCTTGGTCAGCCAAGGAAATTACTGTGTCCAAGCCTCCAAAATTTAGGAAATACTGGCCTGTTTCCACTATATGCATCAGATGTTATAATATGTTTGTGTGTGTTGTTGTTCTATGGAAAATTAAGGCTGCAAAAATTCCACATTTTTCAGAGAAATCCAAGGAACTCAGAGAGAATTTCCGCAAAAATGCATAGGATTGTGATATTTTAAAAAAAGGAAGAATATACAATTGTACTAAAGGAATAGAAGCCATTTGAACCTGATTGGATAATATGCATATATATATATATATATATATATATATATAAATACATATAAATATATATTTACAGTTTTATGTAAATAGGTTTCTGTTAAGACTTTATCTTATTTGTTCCTTTCGTTGCTTTTCGATTTTTCTCTTGTTCTGTTTTTATTTCCGGCCCACCACAACTGATGCAATCAAACCCCTTTTTTTCTAAAAAATATTTTTATTTTGAGAAATTTTTAAAATTTTGGTTTTCAAGGAAATAAAAGAGGATTTTTAAAAGAAAACAGGCTGTGCCTTTACAAGCGTACGTGTCATCTTTCATGATATTAGGTCTGTCTGGTTATTTCTCCTCAGAGTGGTTTAGTTTTGGCTAAAAACGAAAGGAGGTCGTTGCAAAAATCTCCCTTAAAAAAACAACAACCCGGAAGTTTAAGCAGAAAACATCAGCAAAAGAAAATGTTTTGGTTCAACCATTTTGGCAGGTTGTTTAAGAACAGGATGAGATGGAATTGGTTTGTCTTTTCATCATGCACACAACCACTTCCGTCGACTCTGCCAAACCAACATATTTATAATTCATTAGAGCTGGTTGCCTAAAGCAGGGGTCTCCAACCTTGGCAACTTTAAGACTTGTGGACTTCAACTCCGAGAAGAGAGTTGAAGTCCACAAGTCTTAAAGTTGCCAAGGTTGGAGATCCCTGGCCTAAACCATAGGAGCCTACTTAACACATAAGACTAAGGAGTTGTCATCTTTGATCCTACACAACATCACTTCGAGCTGTGAGAGTTGAGTTTGGGAACCATCTGAGCCAAGATTTCATCATCTCATGGCTACTTCAGCAAGAAGTTCATCTTAGGGAACCTAATTTTTTTTCCTTGGGTCCAAAATATGAAAAGCGGTTGCAGGAATTGTCTAGTTATGAATATGTCTAGTTTAATGAAAAGAAGGACTAGGGGGTGACATGATAGCAGTGTTCCAATAGCTAAGGCAAGAGTCTTCAAACTTGGCAAGTTTAAGACTTGTGGACTTCAAACTCCCAGACTTCCTGAGCTAACACGACTGGAGGAAGAATTCTGGGAGTTGAAGTTCACAAGTCTTAAACTTGCCAAGTTTGGAGCCCCTGTTCTAAGGGGTCGCCAGAGAGGGGAGAGTATTCTCCAAAGCAGCAGAAGGCAGGACAAGAAGCAATGGGTGGAAACTCATCAAGGAGAGAAGCAACCTGGAATTAAGGAGAAACTTCCAGACACGAGGACAATTAATCAGTGGGACAACTTGACTCCAGAACTTATGGGTGCTTCATCACTGGAGGTTTTTAAGAAGAGGCTGGACAGCTACTTGTTTGGAATGGTATTAAATTCTCTTGCCTGAGCAGGGGTCGGGCTAGAAGACCAAAGTCCCTTCTAACTGTGTTAAACAGTCTTGTATAAAATATACTCATATATAATCATAGGAGGGTTTACACGTTATGCAAAGCTGGCCGTGTTGACTAGACATTTTTGCAGTTGGCATCTCAGCACCTCTGAAGAACATCAGATTGGGGAGCGTTGGTTGATCTTGAGGAACAAGCAGTTAGGGTCTTTCTTAGTCCACCTTGGAGGTAACTGTGACCTGGGGTGGGCTTCCAGGATGCAGCAGATGCTTCCCCACTGAGATATGGGTCCATCAGTGAGTTCTACTAGCAAAGCACGCATGAGAATGAGAGGCACCCACATTTCTCCTTCAGCAACAGTCCTGGAAGCCACGTGAGATGCTGTCTTGAAACTGGCAGCGCTCAGCCTTCCAACATGGAACAAACCACTGCTCTCATATTCAGGGTCGCCTATATTTGATAACCTTCAGATCTGAACAATTCACCCTCTCCCCCCCTGCTTAATAAATTAAATAAAATACGTCTATAAAAGAAATAGAACCAGAGAGTTCATAAATACGGTTGGAGGACAGGAGAAGGGATGGCGGGACACAGAATGAAGGATCTTTTTCTAGGAGAGCTGAATAAGGCCAAAGTAGGTGTACCCATAGTTGAAATCTACTCTGGAGATGTCTGTTACATTGACAAAGAGGGTGTGGCCAGACTGGAGCTCCACAGCCCTGCTCAGGTGGATGGACTGCAAATCACACAGGTCCACTGCAGTGTTGTAAGTCCCAACACCCTTCATTAGCAGTTGATGTGTCTCCAACGGCAGGTCAAGATAGACTTGGACCTTGAATATGAGTGGGGCATGCAACTCTGGCTTGCTGCAAAAGGTGACCTGGGCATAAATGTAATACCGTCCGCCTTTGCTAATTGTGATTTTTCCATCCCGGTTGGAGAACACGTCGTCCTTTGGGGCATAGGTTGTATTCTTCCAGTGTAGAACTGTAGGGAGGAAGGCGATAGGTTTACATTTATTCCATGTCAGCTCAATAAGGTAAAACCAGATTAAGAAACCAATGGCCTAGAAGTCTACTTTTATTTTTGGGTAAGGGACAACTACATGCTGGCTTGGGAATTCTGGGAGTTGAAGTCCATACATCGTAAAGTTGTCCAGTTTGAAAAGCTTTTGAGGGTTGAGGGTTTCTTCAATCGGCCTGGGGGAGCGGGGGGCAGCCTGTCAACCCTGAAGCTGACCTGGCTGTGGCTACTTTCTTTTCTGTAGCTTTTTCTACAGGGATTTTTCTTCACGTGGCTTCAGGCTTGACACAGCCTGGAGCTGAGGGTGAGGGGTGTAGTGATAGCTGGGGTTCTGCAGATAGAGACCCTGGGAAAATCCCCCCAAAGGTCTGCAGGAAAATCCCTCATCCCGTTTTCCAACCAATCAATTGTTCTTTATTTGGGATCACAGGATCCACTCTCTCTCTCTCTCTCTCTCTCTCTCCCCCACCCCCAAGAACAGAGCTCAAAAGCAGATTAGTGAAGGAATGTGGCTGCCTTGGAGAGGGTGAGGGGGGTGAGGGACTTTCTGTGTGTGTGTGTGAGTGTGTGTGTGTGTGTGTGTGAGAGAGAGAGAGAGAGAGAGAGAGAAAGAGAGAGAACATCATTGCTAGCCCTCTGAGGTTAGATTGGATCTCTTTCTCTCTCTCTCTCTCTCTCTCCCATCAATGTCAGCAAACCACTGTCAATCAAAATTCATATTAGTGGTCCACGGGATTTAAAATTATGAGTTTGGTGGTCCCTGAGGTCCAAAAAGTTGGTGACTCCTGTTTGTCTGAGCTATTTTTCGAGTTAATCTCTCTTGGCCTGGGCTCAACCCCGTCTTATCTGACTCTTCCCTTGAAAGCAACTCTTTCTCCAATTCCACGAGACCAGAAAATAATGCCGGTTCTCACCTTTGCTCTGGCTGCTCTTTCCCGCCAGGTGAACGCTTGCACCTCGCTTTGGATTACCTGAAATAAATAAATAAAAAACAAAACAGCGGTCATTGAAAGTTTCTGCCTTTAGATCAAAATTTGTTATCTAGATATAATGCTACCTGACTCTTTAATTCACAATTTATGAAAAAGCTTTGCCCTTTTAATAAAATTTGTGAGCCAGACAAGGTGCTACCCAACTCTTAATTTTCAATTTATTGGCTAGAATAAGGTTCCTCGCTCCGTGAACCCTTCATTGACTGGAGGATGGTCCGGAAAGGGAAAAGGCACTAGAAAAAACCAGAAAGAAGGCCTGAAAAAGTCAGAAATATGGCACAGAACGATCCAAATGAACTAATTTCCAAGTGAGGTTTGTACAGCTAGGGAGTTGCCAGCATTTGTGGAAAATTTTCTCCACTGTTTTAGGGCCAAGATGCCTCCAGTAATGTAATTGCATTCATAACCAATTTTCTGGTGCTAGTATTATGACTTCATAGCCTCTTAGAAATCGTTTTTGGCAATGGTGTTAATGTGCCTTGAACCAACGGTGTGTGTGAGAGAGAGAAGTGGAGAAGAGAGAAAGGGGGGAGGGAGGGAGAGAGAGAAAGAGAGAGAGAGAGAAAGGGGGGAGGGAAAGAGAGAGAAAGAGGGAGGGAGAGAGAGAAAGAGAGAGAAAGAGATAAAGGGGGGAGGGAGAGGGAGAGGGAGAGGGAGGGAGAGAGAGGGAAGGAAAGCTTTTTCGACTTACCTGTTTGCATAGCTGGCACAATTTGATCTGGAACCTGTAGAAGAAAAAGAAACTCTTTATTTATACGATTTATAGAGGGTTAAAAACATACACATTTAAAAAGCAACAACAACAATCCCACAATATTTATTGAGAAGTTTCCCCAGGTCATCCAATCTCTCCTAAACCTCAAAGCCTGAATTTGGCTTCACCATCAGAAGGTCAAAAAAAGGGGGAAAGGAAGGAGCCCACAGGGTAAGATTTTAAATAGCTCAACCAGGGAACTGGACTTTTTATTTCAGATGACCGACTGTGCCGCATTGAATGGGGTGACTCCATATATTTCTATGCTGCTTCAGTGATGCTGCATTTAGGAATTGCAAACAGGGATCAAGGCAAAACAGCCCTGGTTGAAATCACAAAAGTCCCTCTTTTTCTTTTTTTTTTCTTTTCTCTTTTTTGCATTTTGGAGACCCCCAGTACCCCAGACAGAGGGAGCAATTGCTCTCAGTTCCATATGAAATAAAATTATAACGTAATCCGAATTTTTTTTAAAAAAACGTGCCTTGACCTGGAACAGAGGAAGTGAGTTAATCCATCTTCTTTTCCTGCCTGGGTCTTTGGGGCCACAACCTTTCATTTTTTAAAAGATTATCTGGGACAGCTCCTGCGGCTTTAAATCGGTTATTATTCTTAAATGACTTTGGGTTTTGCAAGATGAAAACTCTGGGACAGGAAAACCTGTATAACTTGCAGTCTCAGAATGATCCCCTGAGCGTGAATAGAACTAGGGTGTGAAAATAGGGTGTGAAAATGCAAATGCTACTTCCAAGAAGCCACTTTCTTTGCCTCTAAAAGTGCTTTTGTTTTGTCTGTCTGTTTGTTTGTTTTTTCCCCTCTTCTTTTTTAATATAAGCATCAACTTTTCCCCCTTCCTTCCTCCCCAGATCTGGCTTACGCAACCAGCTTTTTCCGAAACAACACATTTCTAGATGTCCCACTTTTTCCAATGGTTAACGGAATAACAGAAGTTGGAAGGGACCTTGGAGGTCATCTAGTCCAGTGGTCAGCAACGCACCTGGGCTGGCCACTGGGCTGCCTCTTTCCAATTCTTTCTTCTTCTGCTTTTGGCTGCACGCAAGGAAAGCAGCAAAAGTCTTTTTTTCTCTCCCCCAAACTCCACCAGAAATGAGACTTTGGGACCCTGCAAGGCCTCCTGCTCCAAGAAGCTGTGCCAGCAAAGACTCATTTCTGGTGGAATTTGGGGGAAAGAAAGAACGACTTCTGCTGCTTCTGCTGCTTTCCTTGCATGAAGCCCAAAGTCTCTCCCTCTCTCTCTCCCCCTGAGAATGGAGCTGGAGACGGAATCCTGTGATCCCAAATAAAGAACGATCGATTGGTAGGAAAACAGGGTGGGGGATTTTCCTGCAGACTTTTTTTGGGGGGGTATTTTCCCAGGGTTTCTGGTCCATGGGATTTAAAATTATGAGTTTGGGGGTCCCTGAGGTCCAAAAGGTTGGTGACCCCTGGGCTAGGCCAACTCTCTGCTCAAGCAGGAGATACCATCCCAGTCCAATGGTCATCCGGTTTCTTCTTAAAAACCTTCAGTGATGGAGCCCCCCCAAGTCCTGAAGTGAAGCCTCTGCCCCTGGTGAATGGTTCTCGCTGTCCGAAATTTTTTCCTTACTTCTAGGTTGGATCTCTCTTTGACAATAACCGAGTTGGAAGGGACCTCGGAGGTCTTCTAGTCCAACCCTTGCTCAGGCAGGAGAGCCTAGACCATTTCAGACCAAGAGTTGTCCGTTCACATTCCAAGCTTGGGAAGGACGAAAAGAACTCAGCAAACAACCCAAGGATGCTTTTAGGTCAAACTCGGGCACAGACAAAATTCAATCACCTTTTGGGAAGAAGAAGCATCCATCAGTTCTCGGAAGCTTTCTGAAATCTTCGCGCAATCTAGAAAGGAGATATCCTGCCCCTGCGGTTTCCGACAGCTCTGCACTCGTTTCAGGAACACCAAATCTTCATGTAATATCAGCTCATTGCTCATCTATCAGGGAAAACCATCTCACATTAGAACCGTGGATTCAGCCTTGAATCGGCTCAACAAGTCAAGTGGAACATTTCGTTATCATGTCAAAATGCCAGTGAGAGACACATGGAGTCAATGGCTTCCTGTTTGCTCACAGGGAATGCAACTGCAGTGCGCTTTTTAATTTAACATTCTTGCCATACGATAGATGGATGGATGGATAAATGGATGATAGATAGATAGATAGATAGATAGATAGATAGATAGATAGATAGATAATTGATAGATGAGAGAGATGAGAGATAGATGATAGATAGATAGATGATAGATAGATAGATAGATGATAGATAAATAGAAAGAGAGAGAGAGATGAGAGAGTTAAATAGAGATAGATATATATCCAGAGAGAGAGATGAGAGAGATGATAGATGATTTATAGATATAGATGAGAGAGAGAGACAGACAGAGAGAGAGAGAGAGAGAGAGAGAGAGATTGTGGGGCTAAAGTAGGGCAGTTTACAACAAGAGAAAGGAAGAAATGAAAAGAGTATAAACAGAACAGAATATATCATGAGGATCCCACGCAGAGATATGCAAACCGAATTGATGGATTAATCAGTCTGCTACATTTTCTTTTAACTGAAGAGAGTTTTTTATTAGTTTATCAGTCTAAAATACAAAGAGACATTTTTTAAAAAAGGAATAGAAAACAGAGGGGAGGGAAAAAGAAAAAAGATGGAGTAAAGAAAAAGGCACCGACTTCCAACTCTCTTTAGCACAGTGGAAGATAACCTCTATTATTATTTCTTTAATCTTTCTTATGTTTTACATGTTGATAAACTCATACAAATGGGGTTTTTTTTAAACAGTTTTTAATCTGAGCAGCTCATCCCCATGGACGATATCACTCCCATGTTTTAATTTTTAAAAAGCAAAAGAAGTTCAAGACATAAAGAGATGTTCAATCACAGACTGGAAAATATCCTGATATGTACTTCCTGGCCCCCTGGAGAAACACTTAATAATATTTTTTCACCTGTTTTAGTCTTTAAAAAACAAATCAATCTTAATTTGCAAGGTTTCTTCAGAAACCTGGGGGCTGGCTATCACGCACAGATATATCACAGTAGGAAATGATGAAATCATGTTATAATAGATTCCCACATGATGTCAAAACTAAGGCTGAATTGCAGCTTTAGCTCAAGTTTTTAGCTCAACATGCTGGTCAAAAATCAGGAAGATGACACACGAAGAGTTGACTTCCGGTGAACAAGCCAGAGTCACAATTGATTTGTCCACTCCTGGTCCTCCTAGCTGAACATGAGGTTGGAATCCAGACCTGCTAAAATCAATGTGAGGCGTGGCCGACTCGATCCTTCTCTTCTAAATAAGGTTCCAGCTGGACCCAGAACCAGCAGGATGACGCCAACTCAATTCTGAGTAGACAAGTAACTTGCAAAGCTATGGAGGAAATAGTTGCTTGGTGTTGCAAAATAGTTGCTTGGCGTTGCCAATTCTCAGAAACAAGGGGGGTGGAATTACTGAAGTCAACTCATCCTACCCCAGTTCTACCCCCAAAACAATTGGGACAGCATCACAGCCCAATCCCTCCCTCTATCAAGGTTTGTTAAGTAGGTTAGCCGGAAGGACAATGACTCAACCGAGTAGCATATCCTTTTCTGAAGCACTGATGTTGCCCTAAACAGTTGTGGCCGGGATGATTGATACTACCTCTGAATCTTGATGGTTTTCCCTTGTTCTCACCCAATTTGTCATCCAGTAATCTTTACCCTACTTATTTTATTTAGGTCACTGTTTGGTTTTCTTGGTTTTTTTTTTAATGTTTTAAAGAGTTAGTAAGTTGACCAGGGTCTCTGAGCGATATATAAATTTAATTGTTGGTTGCACAGTCAGACCAATGTTTAGACTGGAGATGGTATTTTTGTCCACCTCTTGAGTCCTTCTTTGGGATAGGCAGATGTTGCTTGGTGGTGTTCAAAACGTTACTGCAGGATGTAAGCTGTTCTGAGTCAGGTTGCTTTTTGCAATTGACTAATGGGAATTTTATCAATGCCGAGTAAAGCTGCCTTTTGCAATTGACCGAGGGTGATTTTTGTCAATGCTGATGGTGTTCAAGTAGGCTTATTATTACTTCCCAGTATTTTTATTCAGGATTAAACAGGTAAAACAAATAAACAAAAAAGTTACTGTTATGTCTGTCCTTTGGAAAAATTGCAACCTGCCACTTAGTTCTAGATTTTGTTCTGTCTTGGACTCAGAACATAGCAAAATATGTAAATATTAATAAACTGGGAATTGTAAACACTGCAAACAAATTCAACATTTAAGGCTGCCCTTCCTAAACAAAAATAGATAGATGATAGATGATAGATAGATAGATAGATAGATAGATAGATAGATAGATAGATAGATA